CCGTCAACAAGCCTCAGGAAATATTGGTACGCGTGTATTACCAATATAGAGAGATTTACAGGCCATGATAGGTACAGTGCCTGCTTGGGCAACATAAGCAATCCCTTGCATCAAGTTTTGAACCCTTACATCAGTGGTGTAAGCCTGTAAGGAGTATAAAGTAAAGTTTCAAAGTACAAACGTTAATAGCCAAATGGTTGACTTAGGTACTAAGGGCACATCTCTCTACTGTATAAGCATTGTTTGCATTGTTTGGGGCGGTTCAAAAGACCCTGGAACAAACTTGTACCCCAAACTTTCCTGGATATTATACAGAAAAGCATTGAAGTGCAAACCCCTGGCGGAGACGCGCGATTACGTATGCTTTGCATCCATAATTATGCATGAGCAGGTCAGTAATTGATTGGCTGGGGTACGCTGATCATCTCGGGTTGCCAATCTTTTGCAAGCTTTTGACAATAGATAATGTTTTAGGCATCATGATATTTGACATCCCCCCTCCGTTGTAACTTCTGATGCCTCCACAGTACAAAACTGGCAGAATGCAGTCGAGGTAAGGCAGTATTGATTTGCATATTGGCTTGCTACCTTTGTTCTGGTGCTGTAACTGTTGAACGTAGTGCTTTTATGAAAACCCCAAACGTAAAATCAAGCCAGTGTAGTGTGGACCCGTTTGTGTCGCTCTTTGGCCAGCTTGTTGCCAGAAAGCATGGTAACAGATAGACGGGCGCACACACAATAGTACAAACCAAGTGTATACCATAACCCTTGCTTGGGTTGATCATGGACAAGCTGTAGATAGATACTAGTTTCTTTTCTCCTCCCTCTCCGAAGAGCCTTGACAATGTTCGCAGATGCCATCACGGGTTGTAGCAACTAAGTTTCCTACATAATTTCTCCGCAGAATGATGAGCTGTTGGAAGCCTGTAGGTCAGGGGATGTGATAACAGTAGCGTCTCTTCTCAACAGTGGAGCTGACGTGGATGCTGTACACGGGGTATGTGTTAACATCACTTCATTCATGTTCTTTTCTCTTGCAATGCATATTATGTATACACCCTTAATCAACATGTCAGTAGTTCCCAGTGCAATATCATCACCTTATTAACCATCAGCATATATGTGCTACAAGGTTTGTAAGCCTGTCTCTCCACTCCTGCACGTCTGATGCTAAGACACACGCAATAAGTAGTTGGAGTATATACGTTTTTAGTAAGTCAGCTTAAAATTTTAATTACTGTGGCTGAGTCCACCATTTTCATGACTGACGTGCATGTGTTTTTTTCTGTGATATCTGTGTATGTGTATGTCTATGGCAGTGTTTCCCGCAGCGTTGTAACTACCGGGCGCTCTACCGGGTATGTACAATTATTGTGCACGTGTAAAATTCAATTAGCGCGATTTCACTGTGCACAGTTATTTGCTGCTTATAGAGTAGTACTTGAAAGGCTTTAGGCCAGTAGGGGATTTCCCAACAGGAAGTGCTCTGAAAGTAAGCCACAAAGCTAAGGTAATAAATAATTCATAAGCACCCTGTTTGAATATAACACTGCGGGAAACACTGCTGGACACGTGAACGAAGACATGTAGGCAGTTAAAGCAGTTTAATGTAGTGTGAATGTGAGGTCTTTTCTTAATTGCACACCTCTTTTAATGCCTGTAATCATGAAAACCACCTATATGATCTTCACCTGTCTCATTGGCATCCCCCAGAACAATTGGACGACAGTGTATGGCATGTATGTGTATGTATCCTCTATAGGAAGCTGTACAATCCAGACAATCGACAGCACGCTAGCGACTCCAGCGTAACCGTGACTGTAGTACACACTATGCATGTGCAAAACAGCACTGCTAGGCTAGGCCATGGTGAGCGGTTGCTGCAGGTTTTTCCAGTAATATACGGGCTAGTGGCACTGGACTGAATACTCGTTCTCCGAGTAACTATGTCCCCACCCCCCGTACATGGAACAGGCAAAATGTAGTACTCATCAGGTAATTAATCCACTGCTTATTAGCATTCATTTTTCATGCCATGACTTTTGAAAGTTCAGGAAAATGGATAAGGCTGGGTTCACCATACCCTGTTGCTCCGTGCCGCGTTGCGTCGTGCTGCTAAGATAGAAATGGATTCGATCGTAGTGATTGTATTGTGATATTAACCCTTGGCGCGCATGCGCAGCGAGGATTACAGTATTTGATTTGTCATTCCTTCCGTCCGTCGGTCTGTCTGTTACCACGTTTTCTGCCACCATGCGTGACAAGACAACAAAAATAGCAATACTAACAGGTTCATTTTTACATAGGCTTGATTTTTTTAAATGGTGACTTTCGTAGAAGTACTGCATTCTAAAGTTATGGCGTGAAAACCAAGTGATCAAGCCAATATGCTAATTAGCACTGGCTTACCTCGACCTGATCCGCTTGCTCAGTGTACCTCGGAGGCACAAGAAGCCATAACGAAGAGCGTGTATTGACTCCCCCGTGCTATCTACTACTGTAGCTAGCCCGTGTCAGTCCCTCCGCGACTTACTAGCGGGAGACCACGAGTAAATGCATACCACGAGTAAATGCATACTAATAAGCCCAGCCCAATAATTGGCGGTACTGTGCATGTGCAGTTCGCCGGGGGTTTGCACTTTAGTGCTTTTCGTTATAAATGAGCATGTACCACAGATTCGGATGGCCGCCTTGTAGCATGTGGTGCCAGAATAGAGAAACAGACAGACAGATGGAGAAACACACAAACCAAGTATTGTAACCCCTTGCTGTGCTTGAGCGCAGAGAAAATCTCTGAATTTAATTAAATTCCATGAATTGAGCTACCTGGCTCTACTCTGCTACCAGCACAAGCTATTGCTCCATGCAAATATCACTGCAAGAACATGATTCTGCACCAATGGTTTGTGTCTAGTTTGGGGTTTTTCCACCATCCTGTAGAATTTTGCCGAACAAAGTGAGCCCTTTTAATGTGTACCTAGTGTCTGATATTCATGGTTTGTCTCTATCAAAATCGAACATGTCCACACACCAATATCCATGTAATGGTCATCTAATTCGTATTTTTAGTGTTATGATGGTGTCTGTCCCAATAGGGTTTAGGCTCTCCTCTGCTCTTTGCCATTATGAATGATAAAATCCAAGTGGTTCGTCTCCTGATCTCAAGAGGAGATGATCTAAACGAAGGGAATGGGGTGAGAGACAATTTATGCATGCGCAGCAAGGGTTGCAGTACTTTTGTTTCACGTGTACAAAGGTGTTTAGCCATTTAGTGCAAAAACATGATTTTAAGCAGAATTGAAAAAGGTGTATAATACTCGTTGGCCTCATTTAAAAACTATAGTGTGCTGTGCGTTTGCACTTTAGTGCTTTCCTTATGTCATGGCATGTGGCATGAAAATTTCCCGTTCACCTCCCTGGAAGTAGTTTTTTTATACAGGCAGTACATACTTTACTAATGGCATACTTTTCTTATGGGATATACAGCTAACCTTTGAGTGTTAAGGTTTCATGGTTAGTGAAGGATACCATCAGAATGGAAAAGTTGCGAGGACTCCAATGATGTTAGAGCGTTTTTACAAAAAAGTAATGAAAATTTTTCAAGGAAGTCAAATAAAATTTAGACAGTGCAGGAAGGTTGTCTGTATTAAGTGTCAGCACTGTTAACGGATGGGTGGGGCTACACTGTCCATTTACTTTCTTTCTAAGAGTTTCAGAATACCGGCTAGCTACCCACCCCCTTTCCGATGTCTCCCATGGTACACAAAACTAGAAGGCTAATTTGCATATTGGTTTTCATGCCAAAATGAACATTTAAAAAATCAAGCCTTAACTTGATAGTTTTCACTCTTTCGCCTATTTGTTGCGTGTGGTGATGAAAGACAGACTGACAGTACAGATTCACTTACAAAAGTCCAAAAGTACAGTATGCATGTGGACGGAGGTTTATGAAAACGCACTGCCATTGGTGTAATAGGATCAACCACGTCCAGCGCCTATATCCGTTTTTTTTTTATAAGTACAATAACCATGAGCTTGTACATTGAATAAGCATTACGCATTGTACTACTACAGGGAAGCGACACATTGTTGGCGAGCAAGTGCGACCAGTTCAATATTTCGTGCGTGTTTTGCGCGTATTTAGAATTACGTAGAAGATTACGGTATGTGTGGCATTGCCTGATAGAATAAAAGAAAGGGAAAAGTGGCCCGTTGGCCCAAGTAGGTAGGCTCGCTTCGCTCTCCAATTATGTTGTGAGGTTGTAAGACATGGGTGCATTAGGATCACACACATCTATAGCAGCGCCATTATGCCAACTTTTTTGGAAAAAATGCGAATGCACTTGCGAAGCCATTTTTGTTAGTATGTACATATAGCTAGTTGTGTATATTACTAATTATTAACCCTCGGCGCGCATGTGCAGCGAGAGTTACAGTAGTTAGGTTTGTCTGTCTGTTACTCTCAATCTCACTTCTCGAATGTCTGTTCGTATCACAAACGATACAACCTACTTAACCGGCAATGAAGGTCAGAAATTTGGAACGGTTTTCTCTGAAAATGCTCCGTTGCTAAGCTAGAGCGCTTCCAGCATTGTATGGCAAATGCCTGTAGTTGCCATTTTATCGCTGGCGGTTAATGCGCATGCGCTTATATTTAGCACAGGACCGGGTCCGCTTGCTCTGTCTATCTTGAAGGCCACAACGAGTGTCGTGTATCGACTATCGCGTGCTATCTACAACTGTAGCTAGCCCGTGTCAGACTCTCTGCGAGCTACTTCGCCGAGGGTTTGCACTTTAGTGCTTTTCATTAACCCTCGGCGCGCATGCGCAGCGAGGGTTACTGTAGTTGCGTTTGTCTGTCTGTTACTCTCAATCTCACTTCTCGAGTGTTTGTTCGTCTCACAAAGGATATGATCTACTTAACGGGCAATGAAGGTCAGAAATTTCGAATGGTTTTCTCTGAAAGTGCTCCGTTGCAAAGCTAGAGCGCTTCCAGCATTGTATGGCTAATAGCGGTAGTCGCCATTTTATCGCTGGTGGATAATGCGCATGCGCTTATATTTAGCACAGGCTTACCTCGACCGGGTCCGCTTGCTCTGTCTATCTTGAAGGCACAAGAAGTCATAACGAATGGCGTGTATCGACTCTCGCGTGCTATCTACTACTGTAGCTAGCCCGTGTCAGACTCTCTGCGAGCTACTTCGCCGAGGGTCTGCACTTTAGTGCTTTTCATTACCCTCGGCGCGCATGCGCAGTGAGGGTACTGTAGTTGGGTCTGTCCGTCCGTCCGTCCGTCCGTCCGTCCGTGTGTCTGTTACTCTCAATCTCACTTCTCGAGTGTTTGTTCGTCTCACAAAGGATACGACCTACTTAACGGGCAATGAAGGTCAGAATTTTTGAACGGTTTTCTCTGAAAATGCTTCGTTGCAAAGCTAGAGCGCTTCCGCCATTGTACGGCTAATGTCAGTCGGCCATTTTTATCGCTGCGGAAAATGCGCATGCGCTTATATTTTCAACAGGCTCGGGTCGGCTTGCTCTGTGTATCTTGAAGGCACGAGAAGTCACAACGAAGGGCGTGTATCGACTCCCGCATGCTATCTACTACTGTAGCTAGCCCGTGTCAGACTCTCTGCGCGCTACTAGCGGGAGACCACGAGTAAACGCATACTAATAGCAGCCCAGCCCATCAATTAGCGGTACCCCGCATCCCCAGTTTGCCGAGGGTTTGCACTTTAGTGCTTTTCATTGGGTCTGTCTGTCAGTCTGTCTGTCTGTTACTCTTCATCTCACTTCTCGAGTGTTCTTTCGTCTCACAAAGGATACCACCTACCGAACGGGCAATGAAGGTCAGAAATTTCGAACGGTTTTCTCTGAAACTGCTCTGTTGCAAAGCTAGAGCGCGAAAAAGCCAATATGCAAATACACAACGGACGGGATGGCTTACCACAGTCGGATCGATCCGCGTGCTCTGCGTACTTAGGAGGCACCAGAAGATGCAACGCAGGGCGTGTATCGCCTCTGGCATACTACCTAGTAGTGTAGTTAGCCCGCGTTAGACTCTGCACGAGCTGGCAAGGACCACGAGTAACAGCTAAAACTAAACCCAGCCCATCAATTAGTGGTACGGCGCATACGTTTACTTACGCGTGCGCGTCACAGCACAGTGCGCCAAGGGTTTGCACTTCAGTGCTTTTCATGTTTGTGAAGGTGATTGCCATTACTAGTCTGTCTTTTGTCAAACAGTCACCACTGAGGTGGGCAACTCGTGTAGGTGTCGATGTCGATGTCATTAAGGAGCTGGTGCAAGAAGGAGCCAGTTTGGACCTTCAGGATGGGGTAACAACTACATCTGTCATTCTTACCTCTCAGACTCTCTATAATATAATGGAACCTCTGAACGAGGGACACACCTTGGGGACAATGATTTTGTCCCTTGTAGAGAAGTTGTCCCTATTTCGAAGGTTTGCCTATTTTGCTCTTAAGAGTGGAAACAATGTCTGAATCATGAACTTCCTTGCACAAGGTGGGTATAAAGAGTGCACAAACACTGCGTTGATGGGTCCGGTTTTTTGTCTTATGCTTGCACGAGGTGTCATTGGAATGTAGGTTCTATTTACACAGATTAGTTGTATACCAAAGTTTCTACGGCAGTCTCAGTCTTTGCCTGTTTCTTGGAGGTTGTCTGCTTCTCGAAGGATCCACTGTGTTCTGAAGCAATCTGTGTCCTTCAATTTTACTCTCCCCACAGAGAGGGGACTCTCCAGTCTTCTATGCTGTAAGGCAACAAAAGTCAGACATTCTGAAGGAGCTGATGAGGGCTGGGAGCAATCTTAACCTCCAGAATGAGGTGCTTATACATTAGTGTATAAGTTGTATGGTTGGCAGAATCATCCCATAGATGTTTCAGTTTTGTGATTTGGAGCATTATTGCAACCTACGCTTTATGCTGCATGTGTAATCTTATGCTACTTACCACCAATAAGATGTTCCGCGAATTTTGCGCACACTATTAAATTTTATGCTTAGATTATAGTGAACGTCTAATTTCACGTATGTAGCATTCATTCCCCCATGTTGACAAGGTTCACATCTGGTGTATGGCTATACAGAACTTTAAGCCAATCAGATTGATTGTGACCTGACGCTCAATAGCTGTACCTTCAGGTGCATATGAAGAAGTGTTATGAAGGGAGGAGAGCAAACGCATGACTATCATGCAGCTTATTAGAGCATCAGTAGATGCTTTATGTATAGTGATGGCACGTGTCAAATCGCGCGTGACCCCTGTACAAAACACCTCAGGAGCTGCCACTGACTATTGACCCTCCACCACAGGTTGGCCTCACCCCTCTCATGATTGCTGCCATGATGGGGAGTTTCGATATGACAAAAATTCTACTGGAAGGAAAGCACATCGATCTCAACATTCAGGAGAATGTGGGTTGCCTATTATGTGCTCGATACACTGATCGTAACATTTGGGATGACAATGTGCAACTTATATTTTCTCCAGGTCGGAGGATGGTCAGCTGTCCACTTCTCTGCTGTGAACGGAGACTCGGCTACCACATATGCTCTCATCAAAGCAGGAGCTAATTTCGACCTCAAGGCCAAGGTCTGAGATAGCTAGCATTATCTTTTAAAGTTTACTCCCTTCCTCTCTCTCTCTCTCTCTCTTTCCCTCAGAATGGGTGGACGGCTATTGAGATGGCTGAAGTCAAGTCAGCAGACCAAGAAGCCGTGCTCGTGCCTGAATTGTCCCTGGACTACGGCGACAGCTACAATGGACCCAGTGACTATGGGAAAGTGATTGAGCTGCTGAGAGGAAACCTTGTGGAGCCAGTTACTCCACCTTCTCAGCACGTAAGGAGAATGTGTGCCTTTTAGAGTTTAACACACTACAAGCACTTCAGTTCAGTGTTTGCCCTATTAATTCAGGACTTGGATAGTGCATCTACTACCGGAAAGGAAAGGTCAGACGTGAGAGATAAAGTGAGAGAGCTCAAACAAACGACATGGGGGACAAGGGAGATCATAGAGAAGAGGAATCCAGACAACCAAACTGATACCAACAATAATTAGCATCCACTGTTTGTTACTTGAAACATACATAGTTGGCACACATTCCTGTCATGTATGTACATGTAGGAGCAAAACATGCAGATAAACCAAAAGCTAGTGCTTCGAATTCCAAACACAATGAAAAGCACTTGAAAGTGCATAACCCTCGCCACTTTATTCTTTATTTCAGCAGCCAATGGCTACTAGCTACCTGGCTACACTATCTCAGTGACTCATTCATCGCATTCTGGCTCTCACTTCACTGGTAATCTCGCTCCTACTCAACTGTCTTTATCTCTATTTGACGCACACTCACCTCGGCAGCCCTCCGTTCGCCCGTTTCCCCGGCCTTCTCCGCTCCAGAATCTTATTTTACCATGCATGCCTCCTACTTGATAATATGTCCACGTTTCACGCTCAGAGTTGCCGCGGTTACCGAGAAAAACGGTGGACAGATGGACGGACATACACACACGCTCCGCTGCGCATGCGCGCATCGAGGGTTAATAAACACTGCATAATGAAGACCTGGTTGCAGCTTTAGCCAGAGGGAACACTAGACAGTAGAATGTGCCAAGCAGAGGAATGAGGCACTATAGACAGCCATGGAAAATTGACAGTCCAAACTCAGAGACTAATTGCTGGAGGTTCATCTCCTGGCCACTAAATCAGGGGATCCACTTTCTCATGCATGTGGAGGCAGAAGAGCTTTAGTCTAGACACACCAAAACCTTACTTTCAAAGGTGCACATGGAGATTGCATGCAGAGTTCGATGACTGTCTGATTGGCGAGCGGGAGCGAGCTAACCTAGTGGTACGAACAGCGCGGAATTTTCCTCATATATAATTATTATCTACGACGTACGTCGTCCAATTGCGCATGCTCCAGGATTACGCGCTTCTTTTTATCCGAAAGGATTTCAAAATTTTACGAGCGAGCCCACCTATTCGTGGCTTCGGGGCGAATTTTCTATCTATATATATATATATACGACGCACCGTCGTCATCTTAGTGCGCATGCGTTAATATTACGCCCTTCGCGCTTCTTACTAGTGGAAATGCTTGGCATTCTTTGGGCGAGCGGAACGAGAACTCAAGTATACATCATTACTAGCGATAATATACCTACGTATATTATATTATGTACAGGTAAGAGTTTCAGCAAGTAACAGAAGTTATTATGGTGTTGACATAATATTATGTTGAGTAAGGCAGCTTTCGCATACGTAGCTAGTGAAACTAGACCAGAAGAAAGTAGCAACGGAAAGGTAATGTACCCGCACCCTCTCTCCATCTCTTAATCGTCGCTGAAAAAGACAAGCCTCTCTGTCGTGACTTTCGACGGCAGGGCGTTCTGTCTGTCTGCCCCTTGGAACAGAATCAGTATCGTTGCCTTGCCCGCTCAAGATCTCGTAATGGTCCCTGAAAAGACGAGCCTCTCTGTCGTGAGGACTTTCGACGGCCGGGCATTCTGTCTGTCTACCTCTTGGACCAGAAGCAGTATGTCGCCTACCCGCTCTCTATCTCGTTATCATCCCTGAAAAAGACGAGCCTCTCTGTCGTGAGGACTTTCGACGGCCGGGCATACATAGATAGAAAATTCTCTGTCTGTTTTTCTTCGACGAAGAACACTATCCTCCGCGGATGAATCCATCTTCTTCGAAGCCAACTGGACGGACTGTAAGAGGATGGAGAAAAAATTCCGCTTGCCTTACTCAACCTGATATACAACAATCATAATAACTTCTGTTACTTGCTGAACATTTTTACTGTAGGTAACGTAGGCTATTTCGCTAGTAATGCGGATGAATGGTTGGTACTACTAGCGTCCTTGAGTGTTCTCGCCCAAAGCATTTCCCACCAGTAATTAACGCATGCACACATAAGACACGAAGTAGCGTCGTATAGATGGAAAATTGAGCATAGACACAACAACTATGTGGGCTCGCTCCGCTCCGCCCAATAAACAGCATGGAAGTTTTGACCTTAGAGTAGACTAACATCACAACAAGTAATAAACAGCCAAGCTTGCCTGTAGTACTCAGTTTAGGATGCAAGGTGAAAAGGAAGACCACAGAATGAAGTAAGTTATTGCTAAGGATACGCACTACATTGCCTTTATTTAATGTAGTTTTAGTTTGTAAGTACATAATTGTATCATGGTAGTAGGCAAATCTTGGACTCCAACCATGTGAGTTCCGCCCTTTCTCACGTGTCGGAGTATTTTAAAGAGCCGAAACACGTGTGACATGGTTGAAGATTGGGAACTCCCCTGATGACCATTAACAAAAGAAGCCTAGCACTGCCCCTGCTGTTGCCTGGACTTGTGGATAGGTTTACATGTACGTTTTAGCACTCTGCCCCTGACATCAGCAAACGACATTCCTAAGAAAAAGTTGCTAAACCCCGTTCACGGACAGTATGAGACCTTTTTATAAGCACCCAGCTATTGAAGCACTTGGCAAACCAGGAGTCGATGGATGTGATGCTAGAGGAATATCCACACAATTCACGCCTAGGGTGTAGTAAAAGGTTTTGTGCGTGGGCCTACGACAGAACAGTTACCCACAAACAGTACGCATGTATGCACCCAGTACAGAATGCCATCGGTTTGAAACAGAGGCCCCGTGATGTTATTGTTATTATACTCGTAGTGTTTAGACCTTGTACATTCGAATATACACTCGAGCAATCTGATTGGTTCACACACGAGGTACTTGATTGACCGGATTAGTATAACCTGAGACGCTACCGAGCTATATACTTGAGACGCTCCGTGTATATATACCTTAGACGCTCCGTAGTATATATACTTGAGTACGCTCCGTAGTATATATACCTGAGACGCTCCGTAGTATATATAACCTGAGACGCTCCGTAGCTATATATACCTGAACGCTCCGTATTATATATACTGAGACTGCTCCGTAGTATATAACCTGAGACGCTCCGTATATATATACTGAGACGATCCGTAGTATATAACTTGAGACGCTCCGAGTAATACATGAGACGCTCCGTAGTATATATACTGAACGCTCCGTAGTATATATACCTGAGACGCTCCGTAGTATATATAACCTGAGACGTCCGTAGTATATACCTGAGACGTTCCGTAGTATATATACCTGAGACGTCCGTAGTAGATATACCTGAGACGCTCCGTAGTATAATAACTGAGACCCTACGTATAGTATATATACCTGAGACGCTCCGTAGTATATATACCATGGACGCTCCGTGTATATATACTGAGACGCTCCGTATATATATACCTGAGATGTCCGTAGTAAAACCTGTTTTGGAGAGTAAATAATTCACATGAAAATGACAAGATCAAATACATCATCTACATATAGGTATATGTGGAGCGAGGAACTCGACATACTCATGCTCGCCTCAAATAGATTACTCTAACTTATATAATATACAACCTTCCTCTCATGTCACTAATAACTGAAACTCTGCGGTGAATGATCGCGGTGGTCCCTTAGACACTTTAGATTTGCATTTCAACTATGTTTTATGCCTAAGGCTTATGTTCGATACAATAAAGGATTTACTTAATATTGATAAGTGATTATTTCACAAACTAATAGTCCAGTATAATTAACATAAGTTGTAGGCATAAGCATGCATCAAAGTCTCTTGCAAAACCTGTACAGTCTATCCTTGAAAAGTCTCAAGCCAACTTACCCCGCAATACAGTATCTGTGGAAAAACAATGAGGTTACTGTAACTTATAACAAGGCTTGTCCACACATGACCGTTGCAAAGTTAGTGGAATTAAATCTAGACCTTAAGGAAAAGAATAAGAAGACTACATGACTGAATAAAATTAATATGCAAAAGTACATAGATGTGGTATTATTGCCAATATTAATGTCTCTTACTAGCAACAGGGAACCCGAGAAATGCTTTCAACACTGATGCTTGGGAGCTAATGAGAGAGAGATTCAGCAAACTAACCGAAATCATGTTGAGGCTCCTACTCTAAATGGGGTTTAGGCTCATTTTTACACTACAGCAAGTTGAACTTGTTGAGCTAGAGGCACTGCAAACACCAGTCTATCTTTGTGCTCTTCAGACCTTGCCTGAGGCGTCAGGGCTTTTTACAGCATGTAAAAACAATGAGTATTATTATCAAAATCCAGCAGTGCAGCCGACCGCTTTTCTCGGGAGCCTCATGCAAGACTAGAGTATAGTTTCATACCTTCTGGAGTCATTCTTGCCTGTGACTCCTCCCAGAGCATACACATGGGGCATGTGGTCTTGTAGTCAGAGTTGACATAACATAGCCATCACTGTCACACTCCGCACCCATAGGCAATTGTCCAGAGCACGCACACCAGTGAATATCGGTATATACAGGCCTGAATACTATTAGGTAACAAGAGAGTGCTCAAACTCCTGTAGATCAGAGTTACATTAACATAGCCATCACTAATACCCACCTCGCCCTATGCAATTTGTACACATAAGTTAAAGTCACCAGATTTGAATACATGAAATACAATGTAAGTAAAAAGTACTGCAATCAATTTACCCATCCAAAGCCAATGTCATCTGCCTAGTGTCACAGGCCACAGGAAGACCTCAGCCTCCAGGAGGGGGATCCAACAGAAACCCTTCTTGGTCCAACAAAACATGGTCTCCCATGGTAGTAGTGCACATCACGTCCCCCGCAAATAGATTATCAGCATACACAAAAAATGTACATCAGTGGTGCTACTTGACACGATGAGTATATAATATGGAATGATTCCAGTCTAATAGATATAAACTAAGCCACCTTTGAAGATGGTGCACAACATTCGTTAGTTAATGCTCAAAATAATTGGCCATAATATTATACTAAGCTCTAGTGGTTCTCTAAACCACAAGCGTTATAAAGGGCTTTTTATATGGCTAGCATGGATGACAAGGGCAAAAAACTACAGTGTCATACACTAGGGCGTATATACATTCCCCCAGAACAGCCACCATACCAATAGTCTACACCTTCCCGTCAACCTCTTGATCTTTACATTTGTTGATATACCAGGCAACCTACATGACGTATGAAGAAAAGTACTGCAGAATGTATCATCCTGTACAATCCTGCATGCAA